CACCTACCGCAATCGCGTAGCGGGTGATGTCACGCTTTTCACATTCTGCCAAGGCGATGGGCAGCTCTTCCCCATCATGCGATTCTCCGTCGGTCACGACAATGAGGAGCCTGGTAGCGCCTTCTCTTCCACCCCGTTCAGGGCTGAAGGCTTCCGAGCTGAAATAGGCAGGTCAGAGGTCACAGAGAATTCCATCATTCACCTCAATAGGAATCTGATGCAGAAGCTGAACTATACACACAGACCAGACTGTTGTTGACCGGATAGATCATTATTTAACTAGGGGGCGTGGTAAAATTGATCACTTACAACCAGACAGATAGGGCTTAATTATAAATGCATACCTTGTATTAATTACTTAAGAAATTCCTAGATTAAAATGGAATTCCAGTAGAAAGTTTCCTTTTGTGTTGAAGTTCTGCTTTAAAAGTGTTGGCACTGCATAACTACATACCCCGAGATAGGCAACCTTGGCACTTGGTATATAAGAAAATCACAAATAGAAACTCCCACCTCTAATATATGAATGGTGTTGCTACATTTGTAGTTACAGCAGTGTGGTAAATAACCTTGGCATGTGTATGATTCAGGGGACAGCAATGGGGGTAACGGTCAGTTCTGGGACCGCATGCATGCCCATTACAGCTCCTTAAAACGAACAAGCCTTGTTACCGGACATACCAGGATTTGTGGATGGCAAATGCTGTCCTGGTCTCCCGTCCTTCCTGGCGACTGATATTCTTGGCGGCCTCTATCACCTCCCGAGAAGTTGTGTAGTCTTTCAGGGACCACTCGTGCACGGCCTTCTCTCCATATTGCAAGACCCCTACCTGTTCAGGAGGAGTTATGAGTTAGTCTAAGAGGTAGCTGAGATGGAAGAACTGGTTTACATTAGCCATGACAATATGGCTCCAAACATTCGTAACTGGTCTGGGTGGACATATATAAAGATACTCTGTGTCCTGTAGGCCCTTCACGAAAGGAGGATGTGATTTGATAGCCTTAACCTTCTCATTGGATGGTGTACCCCATGCCTCTGTAAACCATCTGTTGCAATGCACCCTAGTACGGTATCCACCCCTTGGGGGCTTCTGGCCAGTGAGTCATGCGCCCAAACTTTACTGCCCTCCCACTCTCACCTGTACCTCCCACTTCCTCCCTTTCTCACCCACCCTAAAATTGAATTATAACACCCACTCCCTATAGACACTGCCACTCCGGCACCCAAACTCTTACCATCACGTGCACTTTCACTCCTTGACCAACCAATGGCTCCCACCTATAAAACACCAACCTCAGTCACGTCAGCCTTTCACCTCTGACCCTACTGGAGCTGCCATGGACCAAATTTGTATCAATGTGAGTTGTAACTTTAAGAAAGCTGGCCATACGACTTTGTACAGCTTACATTGTTAATTCCATACGCATATCTCTCACTTGTAAAGTTATAACCTTGGCACATGTCGTGTTACCCCCTCCTAATTGTTTTCAATAAAAACTATTTGGAAATACAAAGTTGATGTAAGAAATCTGCTTAATACGTATTTCTCCCGTTAGCAATCAAACCACAAGTAGGCCGGTGTTCACATGGGTTCCTTACAACGGTGCAGGTGGTGGGACCATGAACCAAAGCCACTGGAACCGCCCAATATCTGAGAACACTCCGCTACCAGCTGCTTGTCAAGATGTGTGTGTGTCATTGTTTCATTCCTGATGACTCCTCCACTTCCCAGATGCCTGCGGTTTATTTATGCCTAGGGTCATTCATGTAAATTTGCAGCGATCAGCGTCTGTTTCTATATAAAGCGGACGGAACGCAGGATGGAAACCACACAGGAAGAGTCAAGATCCGAGCATTAGGAATGACACGCTAGGTACTCATACATGTGCACAGATGAGGATGTGTAGGGAAAAGGTCTACGTCTTATATTACTTTTATTTATTTTGGATGGGTTAGATCAGGGGTACGCAACCCCGGAGAGGTGGAGATCAACTTTAGAAGCACTGAAGAAGCACTAAAGAAGTCAAAGATCATTGGGGAGCCCCAGTAACATCCACTCTTACATTGGTGGTCAGTGGGGAACCCCAGTAACATCCCCCTTACATTGGTGGTCAGTGGGGGGCCCCAGTAACATCCCCTCTCACATTGGTGGTCAGAGGAAAGCTCCAGTAACATCCCCTCTAACATTGGTGGTTAGTGGGGAGCCCCAGTAACATCCCCTCTTACATTGGTGGTCAGTGAGGGGCCCCCAGTAACATCCACTCTTACATTGGTGGTCAGTGGGGAACCCCAGTAACATCCCCCTTACATTGGTGGTTAGTGGGGAGCCCCAGTAACATCCCCTCTTACATTGGTGGTCAGTGAGGAGCCCCAGTAACATCCCCTCTGACATTGGTGGTCAGTGGGGAGCCCCAGTAACATCCCCTCTTAGATTGGTGGTCAGTGGGGAGCCCCAGTAACATCCCCTCTTAGATTGGTGGTCAGTGGGGAGCCTCAGAAGCATCCCCTCTTACATTGTTGGTCAGTGGAGAGCCCCAGTAACATCCCCCTTACATTGGTGGTCAGTGGGGAGCCCGAGTAACATCCCCCCTTACATTGGTCAGTGGGCAGCCCCAGTAACATCCCCTCTTACATTGGTGGTCAGTGGGGAGCCCGAGTAACATCCCTCTTACATTGGTGGTCAGTGGGGAGCCCCAGTAACATCCCCTCTTACATTGGTGGCCAGTGGGGAGCCGCAGTAACATCCCCCTTACATTGGTGGTCAATGGGGAGCTCCAGTATCATCCCCCCTTACATTGGTGGTCAGTGAGGAGCTCCAGTAACAGCCCCTCTTACATTGGTGGTCAGTGGGGAGCCCCAGTAACATCCCCTCTTACATTGGTGGTCAGTGGGGGGCCCCAGTAACATCCCCTCTTACATTGGTGGTCAGTGGGGGGCCCCAGTAACATTCCCTCTTACATTGGTGGTCAGTGGGGAGCCCCAGTAACATCCTCTCTTACATTGGTGGTCAGTGAGGAGCCCCAGTAACATCCCCTCTTACATTGGTGGTCAGTGGGGAGACTCAGAAGCATCCTCTCTTACATTGTTGGTCAGTGGAGAGCCCCAGTAACATCCCCCTTACATTGGTGGTCAGTGGGGAGCCCCAGTAACATCCCCTCTTACATTGGTGGTCAGTGGGGAGCCCGAGTAACATCCCTCTTACATTGGTGGCCTGTGGGGAGCCGCAGTAACATCCCCCTTACATTGGTGGTCAGTGAGGAGCTCCAGTAACAGCCCCTCTTACATTGGTGGTCAGTGGGGAGCACCAGTAACATCCCCTCTTACATTGGTGGTCAGTGGGGAGCCCCAGTAACATCCCCTCTTACATTGGTGATCAGTGGGGAGACCCAGAAACAGCCTCTCTTACAGTGGTGGTCAGTGGGAGGCCCCCAGTAACATCCCCTCTTACATTGGTAGTCAGTGGGGAGCCCCATTACGATGACGCCCCAAAGCCAATCACCCCCCCCCTCTCTGCCTCCAGTCACCGATAATCTCAAGCTTAGCGATCTCCATAGGTTCCCAGGTAAGGTGATAAGGTGGTATTCCCTCACTTCCTGTGTGGTCACTGGGACAGGACGTGAGTGTCAATACTCCCAGTTGGCACGCAGACAGTGACAACAAGGAGGTTGCAATGCAATATTTCCTGGATGACATTAGCCGTGTCTCGAATGGAATTGACAGACCTGGATCTGATCGGGACCGATGAAAAACTTGCTGAGGATGTTGCTGAGGAAGTTCTGCACCTCAAACCAGGGGTAGATACTGTTCGATCCGTCCAGGAGGATGACGATGTCCAGGTATGTGGAGCACCCTAGAGGAGAAGGACACCCCGAAGGGGAAGTGACACCCCAAAATTAATACCATCTCTGACACATCTACAAAATAACGTATCACCTCGATGAAACGAAAGATGGACACACACACACACAACAATATCACATCCTTTTTTACAGGAATAAGCAAGATGGATGGTACGGGATGGGAGCAAGCCATAAAGTGGGAACCCTTGGCATACCTAGAGGTGGAGACTGGGCAGGGTCAACCTGTAAAGTGGTAGTTATTTGGGCACACCCTACTGGAAAGTAGGCAGATGACAATGGGTGGGGCTAATGTCCATAGGATGGGACCATAGGTTGAGAAGTATGGGAATGTGGTTAGCCAAGGCAAGAGGAGACACTGGAACTGGTATTTGATGACTCAGAGGTTGGGTTCAGGACAGGGAATGACCGCAGTGTACAAAAACACACATATATCACCAAATTTAGACTTAGAGTACTATATCTACACATCATGTGACCCAGTGCCATCTAAAGCATATAGTGGCGGCCAGTGGTGTATTTTGGTTTTGTGCTGCCCTAGGCAAGACTAAACCCGAGCACCCCCCCCCCCCC